CGTAGATATTTATTGGCATGATTTTGAACTACATTGTTTTATTGGTAGACATACAAAAGCCCCTACGGACAAAAGCCCCAACATATTTTAATAAAAAGGATCTATATATTACAAAATTCAATTCGTCCATTGCTATACCATATACTGTGACTGGCAATAAAAGATATATGATTTCCCTTAATTTGCCATAATTTTTCTCAAACTGATAAAAAGACTACAATTATGGATATTTTGAAGAAAAAAAAATTGTTTATTTCTTTGCATGGTGTTCTTACTTGCCGTCAACAATTTCTTTCAGTCCGTCCACAATTGCTCATGACTGATTTTCTTGAAACTTGGTATTATTGTTTGTTATCACCCAGAATGAACCCTATTGAAAATCTGAAAAATCAAAAAATATTTTGTATGAATCATTGCCCTTGTTCTTGAAATGCTCGTAGACATTCTAGAAGGAGCAATTCTTGACGGATTTTGATGAAACTTGGTGTGAGTGTTTGTTATCATCCAAGGATGAACCCTATTGAAAATCAGAAAAATATTTAGTATGAGTTATTGACCTTATTCTTGAAAACAAGTTCAATTTTAGTTTGTAAACACTCTAGAAGGTTCAATTATTGACAGATTTTGATGAAACTTGGTGGTTGTTATCCCCAAGGATGATCCTTATCGAAAATCAGAAAAATTAAAAAAAAAGAAATTTAATATGAGTTATTTGCCTTGTTCTTGAAAGCGCATTCAATTTTTAGCTGGTTAACACTCTAAAAGGAACAATTCTTAAGAGATTTTGATGAAACTTGGTCTGAGTCTATTTTATCAACAAAGTATGAACCCTATCGAAAATCAGAAGATTGGAAAAATATTTGGTATGAGTTCTTGAAAATGCGTTCAATTTTTAGCTTGTAAATTATCTCGACGGCACAATCCTTGACGAATTTTTGACGAAACTTGGTGTGAGTGATCGTTAACAACCAGAGATGAACCCTATCGAAAATTAGAAGAATTGAATAAATATTTAGTAGGAGTTACTGCCCTGTTCTTGAGAACGTGGTCAAGTTTTAGGCTGTTAACATTGTAGAAGGTCGAATTCTTAACAGATTTTGACGAAACTTGGTTATATCATTCAGTATCGCCTCTAAAAGTTCAGAAGAAGTGTATGACTATAGGTTGAATATTTCATACTAGTAATTGTCACTGTTATTGTGGGTGTATATTACCTTGTCTGGCAAGCTATCTTTGATTGTTTGCTAGCTTAAGGTTTAACTTTGTGGCTTATAACCTGTGCATAAACAATCTAGAAACTTACATAAAAATTCCTATGCATGAAAGTCAAGGTCAGCTTGCAAGAAGATAAATGTCAATGACAGGATGTTCTTTATATACTGGTTGGATTGGAAGAGAAACATGTAATCATATCTTGATAAAGCTTTTCTTTGATATATCTATAATTTTGTTGAAGCTCTGTTACAAGATACATTGATTCTTATAAGTGAGGTCAATTTGATGAACTAGTGTTAGCAAGATAATTTTTCATAGTGTGTTTTAAGGAGCAAGGAGTTATCAATAACAAAAATCTGTTAAAGACTTATGTTAGATACTCTTAGAATGGTATTTAGTAGCACATGTATCAATAAGCATAATTATAACAAACAGGAAAAAAACAGTGTAATTTAGCTTTCCTTTCAATCAGGTGCAACAAAAACATGGTTGTTTCAATGGCAGCACAGACTGCATTATCAAATGCTTGTTATCAAATTTATTTTGCATCATGATATAAAACAACACTATTCCTCACTTCTTAATGTTGTTTAAGTCTTATAACACTATTCAAGTCAAAGATTGCAGGTAAAAAGTAATAATACAGCAGTCATATGGTTTGATTAATCACTTTAAGTACATAGATTGCCAGGGGAAATTGTGACATTATAATTATCTTTTGGATATAAGGTCGATTTAATCGGATCAAACAAACATTTTAGACTTGCTGTAAGGATATTGATAGATAAAATAATGTTGAAAATCAGATACATTGACAGTACACATTTTCTGAGTTAATGATACTTGTTGTCCAAGTTTAAGTCAATATTTATTGAATTACGCCCAAAGTTCAAACAGTTATTGTCACATTTTTATTGGCTTATATTGATATCAATATCCTGATCCAAAATTGATCTCGTTTTGTTGGGAGAATTTGAGATTATGGTGTTAGTACAAGATCTGTTACATGCCAAAATTCCCTCAAAAGGCAGATTGTGTTACAAGATCAATGTATGAGACCATGAGGTTCATCATCTATTGCATTAAACTATCTTACAATGAGAGGCAACAGTTACTTGATGAAATAACCTTAAATATATACGTCCACATTTCATTAAGTCAATGATATGAAAGAATTCAGATATATGATGATTAAAAGTGATGGTAAAATACTAAAAAAATATGGGTTGTCTTAGTATAATACATCTCAAAAAATATAAACTGATTAATTAATTAATATAATTCATTTTACCAAATTTTGCTGTTCATAATGAATGGTTAGATTTTGTATAGTGTTTGTTTAAGTGTTATTTATATTGTACATTTCAATATTACCATGTATGGCGTTTGATTTGCAATAAAGGGATCATTACATTATGTTACAACTATCTAATATACCTAAAGCAAGAAATGATTTCAGTAGATAGCAATGTGTAAAAAGTGATAAGACATGTCATTATGAAATGGCTTCTGCATCATAAATTCTCTCCAGGGAAAATAGTCATGCACAAAGATTACTACTTCCCAAAACTATAATAAATTCTATATCTGAACGTATATGTCTTGCCTCTAAAGATGTAAAACCTCAGTCTATCCCGGTTTGAATTAAGATTTATTTTAAGTAATCAACCTCACAAAGAAAGTTAAAAGAGATAACATATTGATGAATATTTTAATAGATTAGATCTTACAGTTTCTGTTGGTGAAATGAAATATTAATGAAATCATATGAGGGTATTGCTCAACTGTCAAATATAAGGTGCTTGAGATGTGAACTTACTGTACTTATGGTCAATATGTGTAAAGTTTGCAAGGAAATAATCATATATTGGCTTGTGTTAGTTGCCATACCTCTAACTTAGCATTTGGTAGCCGCTGTGGCTCAGTGAGTTAGACGCTTGCTCGCTAACCTGAAGGTCTAGGGTTTAATCCCGGCATAGGTCGAGATAATACCTTCGGAAAAGCGTCTAGTCATTCTGATGGGACAATAAACCGAGGCCCTGTGTGCTACAGACTGTGCACGTTAAAGGCTAATGCCGCTGTCCTGGCAAAAATTTGCCTCATTGCACCCTGCATGGCGTTGCCCGTCTTCATTAGACCACATGGTGCAGAAAAGTAGGACATAAAAATCCATTCATTTCATTTCATTTCTAAATTAGCATTTGATTTTTTGAGAAGAAAGGAAGAATGTAAAAATAGATTAATATTGATCTTCAAGATAAGAATGAAACTGGATATGATATTTTCTCTCTCTCTTAATTAATATGATAATAAATGTAAATTACATATATTAATATCATTAAACCCTATGTAAATTACATATATTAATATCATTAAATCCTATGTCACTTTGACCTTTAATATTAAGATTGGAATTATTGCCAAGGGACACATCATTATTCTCTTTCTGTTCTGTCAACCTTAGTTACCAATTATAACACTTCAAATTACCTAAAAAAAAAGGCAGTCTTTATAGAGATTATTCAAACTCTCTGAAGAAAGACACTTGCCAAGCAAAGCGCTTTAAGTAAGATTTTAATCTGAAATTTACATTAGTGGTAATAGTTCCGAATTTTCTTTGTTTTTATTGAGTTGTAAAAACTGAATATGAGTCAACAAAAATTGTAGGTATTAACAGGTAAAATAAAAAAACTTAAGCAGTCTAATCAGAAATAACTGTAACAGGTAGAGCAAAACCTTAAAGCTGTTCAGTAGTTTAGATGTTAAAAATCATAGTATGATATGAAATTGTAATACTGTTCATCAACAGTTAGTATAAATGGAAATTTGCTGTGTTGATTGAAAAATAATGACTGCAGGAAATATCGAGTGAATTGTATGATTTATTTCCTGATTACATTATATTCTGGAATATTCTAGTAGATATTTTGATTTGTACTTTTTCCCCGAGTGTCTTTAAATGCTTTGTATGGATTGATCTATACTTATATCATACACTATTGATATTATCCTAAAGATGTTTTATCTTGTATCTTGTCAATGTTCAGAAATTTATTTTCAATTATTAATACATGTATAATTACAGGTTGTTCTGTCATGCTTACAGGTTGTTCTGTCATGCCACTTGCTTGCCACTATAATGTTTTACTTTATTCAGAAGTTAATCAGGCTTGCAATTCCTGGATAAAACCATAATTCTTGACATATTGAGACAAAATGTAAGGATACTTTCACAGTGCTGCAAATTCAGGTTGAAATAGCTGGCTTTTCAACCATTACTAGCAACTGGCATCATATTTGAGAATTTCACCAATTGCTTTATTTAATTTTATTTAAAGTAGGCTACACAAATTATTCTAGTTATTAAATATAATGTATTTCATGATCTTTCAGGTTGATTATAATTCAGTAATTAAAATTTAATTTAAACCTCCAACTCTCAGATTAGACAGATTTTTTACTTTTTACACCTATCTTGTTATATGTCTTAAGTGTTGAAGGAAGACTATTTTCAACTGAAAATTTATTTGTAATGTTCAAACTGATAGTATGCCAAATGTGGTCAATGATATTGTAAAGTATTTCTTATAATTATGAAATATAAGTTCACACAACACTATCAGGTGTCTCAAAAACGTTCCAAGGTTCGATTGGTAGTACCTCAGCTGTTTAACTGATCTCATTCGATATTCTCAGATATACTTCTAGATGTTGTTGTCTAACCCTGAAAATATATGAAAGTCATCGAATAAAAATTATACAAGTACTGCCTTGAACAAAATAGCATGTCAGAAATGCAACACTTACATATTTTAAGAGAAAAGCCAGGTCAAATAATATTCTATTGGCCAGCCTTTCTCTTTCTCAGGCTTTCTAACTGGTAAAATAATAATTACAGGTTATACAGGAGACATAATAAACATGTTATCCCCCTCCCCCCCCCAGATATTAAATTTAAAGAATGTCCTCCCTCAAGATATTATATATGAAATAGATTATTTTATGTAAATGATTAACTATTTATATTATAGAAGGTAAAGATGAGAAGAGAATTTGTAGATGGTATAACACACCAGGAGAATGTTGGAGAGGTGATAGATGTGAATATTTACATATTAAAAAAACTGATGGTAAGTTAGCTGTTTTCTTTACTTATATCATTAATCATAATATTAGTACAAACAACAAAATGTGTCAGTTAGCTCCTCTGCATTATAATGTTATGGCAAAAATGCAAACTTAGGTCATAAGTGAAAATCATAAGAGAACATAATTTATATAGTCTTTCTGATCGGTTCAGGGGGTGGCTCATTGAGTATGGTACTTCCTTGTTAACCATTAGGTCATGGGTTCAATCCCCTGTTGGGAAAAGATTATCAAGATTCAATCCATCTTCAAGGAGTAGCACCTAGTGCGCTATATTAGGAGGCATGATAAAGTATCCAGGAAAAGACTAAGACTGGTGTATATTGATAGTATTAGTATGGTATTACATTTTGTTATATTCAATTTGTCAATAATTTGTTTTATCCTTGTAAGAATCACCTGATTTAAATCAATGATATTTTTAAATCTGACCTATGTAATTTCTGGGAATCTATATATTTAACTATTAAATTCAAACTAGTGTATATATATTATTCTCAATGCCTTATATAAACTTTCTCTTCATTATACAGTCAATGATTTTATTAATTTTTATCATTTGTTTTTTTGATTTAAATCAAAGATTTTTAAAAAATATAAATTTACACTTCTGACTAATGTAAATTCAGTATGCATACTGTAGAAAAATTGTCAGTTTTTAAAGAAAAAAAGAAATGTACAGGCATTAGTCCGTCCAGATTCACTATTAGTCAGCATACTTGTTGATTTTGAATTATTTTTGCTGCTGCCCACTTATTATAAAATCCACAAAATCATTTAAGGCAGATGCAGATGATGGATTCTAGTGTGAATTTTGTCACATGACAAAAGGGTAAAAAATCAAAAAGATTTTTTTTTTTACTTCATTTTTTTTTTCATATGTTTAATTGCTGAAAAATGTTCCTTATATAGGATTGATGAAGAAAATGCTGGCATTTGATTGCTTATTGATATACATACAGAACAGTGAAATAGATTACAAGTTGCTGAAAATGATTTAAACTGATGATTTATCTCAACAACTGATCAAAATTCCGTTTTTTTTTTACTTCTTATGTTCAATTTCTACCTATGTACAATCTAGGCAACTCATTCAGAAACATTGATGTATTGTAATAGATAAACCCATCTGTTATTTGATTATAACAATAATTATAACCTATGATGTAGTTATTAGAATACAAATTTATTATGTTGTAGTATTAACCCAAGATAAAGAGGCAGTATTTGTCTGGGATGAAGACCAATCTGAAATATTACCAGAAGTTGATACATTAGTTGTGGTTGTTGTGTCTACTATAATTAGTCCTAGACATTTTTATGTATTATTACCTTATGGTAAAACAACTTTAGATTACCTACAATCTCAGAAAGGTAATGATTTACTTACTCTTAGTTTGTAGCATCGACATATTAGTCTGGTTGATTAACAAATGTTTTGGTTTCAAACATTTTGTGCTTGTGAAAAGGTATTGCATAAATTTAGATTTCAGTCTTTAGATAATTCATTTGATTTGTTGTTTTTTCAAGATGCCTTCATAAAAAATAATAATAAAAATAAAGTATGTCTGTGTTTAAGCAGCTTTACCTTGAAGGCATTTTTTAGATGAATAATTAGTAACGTATGATTTGATAATCAATACTCTTTCTAATGATAAGTATTTTATTTTGCATCAGTTCACATGGTAGATTAAGAATAAATTCCATAATATAAAGAACGAAATAAAAAAATTTGGCTTCAAAATTGTGTGTTTTTATGATTTGTATATTTCTAATCTTGTTTCCAACAGCAACTGTGACATTGGTTTGTTTACTTGTATTTATGTTTTAATATTGTTAACTCATAGAATTTGGTGCAATTGATGTTCAATTTTTAGTGAAATATGACAACCTAATTCAAGGGTTGGCTTGTGTGAGATATCTCAATCAGATTGAAACAAATCCTTGCTTTCAACGATTACACTCATAGTCATAAGAACTGTAACTGTAGTTGTGTTTGTTATCATATTGTCAATTCTTTTTTCTTTTTTTTTTTCTTTTTTTTTGCATTGTTTTGCAAATGACTATTTTTATTTTTTTTTCTTTTTTATTTTTTTTTTTTTGTCTACTTCTGGTCAGCCAAAACAGGCCTTTTACTTTAAGAAAGGGAATAGGATTTACAATTTATAAAATTTTGATATTTTGACCATTTACATGCATAATCTTGGTCTTTAGAAGGTCAAAGGTTATTGATCTACGATGTCCATTCATACTTTTATCTTTGATATCTGACATATATTTTCGCTTTTACAAACGTCCCAAAACAGCAATTTTCAACACTTTAAAGGCTTATATTCTCTTTTATTTGACCTCTGTTGACCTCTGGGCCGAAACACAAATTATTGTACCTTTCCAAAAATATTTTCATTTTTGTTGTGCGAATTGAACTTTTAACTTTACAGCTATTTGAAAATTCGACTTTTTACTACCGAATGTTAACACCTTTTAGTACCGAATGGTATCAAATTCATGCGTCTTTTCACTACCAAACGGTAAACGGTTTAAACGATTTTTTCTACTATTGAACGTTTACATGCTTTTCTTTCCGGTAAGAAATCCCATTGTGACTTTAAAATGCAACGTGTTATTGATGTATCAGGTTGGATGCGCACTGCTTCGGTAAGGTTATAACGGTTCAAGTTTGTTTTTTTTTTCGAAATTTCCACAGGGCACACAGCCTAGGCTTCAATAGCTACATCAACATTTCTACATGTGTAAACCTTCTGCAGTGGCAATGTTGTTAATGAATATGAATTGGAACATTTTTGCAAAACCGTAAGTGCCACAGTGCAACATATGCAAAAACTCGTAAATTGCCTCTAGAAGGCGCATTTTTGCATCGATTTTCTTCGGGTTTTCATTTTTAAAATCTGACTGTAATTTCTGATCAGATAGCACTTGAAAAATTATGAAATTCGAAAATTTGTCGCAAACTTTTTTCGATTGAATTTTGCAATTTTTTTGCAACTTTTTTGTTTTTGCATCGATTGATCTGAAATTTAAAATGCAAAGAGACATCAATAAAGTCAATGATATGATACAGTCAGAGTTTTGACGTCACTTCCGGTTTTGAAGGTGGAATCAATTGAAAGTACAATCTACTTCCGGTCGAATAACTTCCGGTGTAAATGAAATAGGTCAACAGAATTTATGCAGGTCGTAAGTAAATGGTAATACAAAAAAACGAAGAATATAAAATCCAGACCGGAAGTGATACTTTGGCCGCCATCTTGATTTTCTAATTTTCTTAAAATCGAAATAAGTCCTTAGGGATAAACTAAATCTGCATGGATTCAATGTAATCTGCTGTCTAATGTTCACAAAATGTTGCGAGCCGATTTTTGAATTTTCGCAACTTCTGGTTGAATTTTAAAGTTTATAAGCTTATTTCTTGTGACCTTGACCTTTGATGACCTTGACCTTCATAGGGTCAAAGGTCATTGATCTTGGCTATCATTTGTTACTTTGACCTTTGACCTCCGACATGTACTTTTTGGTTTTATAGCTATCCGTAAAATGCCAAATTCGCAACTTTGGACTGTTCTAGCACGTGACCTAATTAACCTAGAGGGTTAATTTTTTCGGTTTCCTAATGTGCTTTTCATGCACTTTACACAGATATAGAAAAAATTGCTTTTTTAAAGCAAAATTGAAATTCGTGATTTTTTCAAATTTGAGTTTTGTTTTACCATATTTATGTCTTTTTGAGCTTGGTGTATGTATATCTTATGATCTATTTGATGTAGAACCTTGATATTTGGAATACAATTAGACACTTTGAATATGAATTCACCTATCACAAAAAAATTGGGGTGGGCATGGCACATCCGGGTTGAATTACTAATTGTTTACATTTTGGGGCTGGGGCATAACTCACAAAGGATACGTTTGTTAAAAAAGGGACTTTGCACACAATTACCTCATCCTTTTGGCCAGTTTGTGTAACAGCTCAGT